ATATATATCATGCCAACCATGTATTATATATTATACATTATATATTACATATAATATATTATATATATGTAACATATTTATTTAAAAAAATCGCCATAGATGGAGCTAAAATTACTTTTATTTATAAATTTAAAATTCAAGTTTACTAATTTTGATCATAGAAGGCATTATAGACTTTTCTCTATGGTAACCTAGCATTAGAAGCATGAAAGATAATTTGACAGTTTATTCTTTTTCTATGGTTTATAAGTTTGCAAATTACTAATTGCGTTTCAATTTATAAGTGTGTGCCCGTTAAAATTAACGCATAATAAGTGAAAAAATTCCAACTTCAAAACGCCTTTACCAATCTTTATAAAATTTTGGATAAAAATACTTTAACTTATATCTCAGTTTACGTGTTCAAGGGTTTTTGGAGAAAATAAAGAATATGCTGTGAAATACCGTATTTTTGTAAGTATACCCTGAAAATGTTGTACAAATACGAACAGTAACGAAAATACAGCGCTTTAAAGTCGTCAAAAATGACCACTTTTCAGCAAAATAATCAAAAAAGGGTCATTTTTACCGACTTTGGAGCACTGTATCTTCGTTACTGTTTTTATTTGCTTAAAAAAAAATTTCCCTAAAAGTTATTTTTCAAACGTTTTTTTTATTATTAAATAAAAGGGCTTTAAAAATATTTTCTCGGAAAACCCTCGAACACGTAAACTGAGATATAAGTTGAAGTATTTTTATACAAAATTTCATAAAGATTACTAAAGGCGTTTTAGAGTTAGAATTTGTTTACTTATTATGCGTTAATTTTGACGCGCAGTGTATAAACTCAAAACAATAATTTATAAAAATAAATAAACTAAATAATAATTATAGATAGTGTCAGCAAGTTAGAAATTATAACCTACTTTAATTTTATTTTTTGCTCCACAACTCAGCTTCAATTTATTTTTTACTCAATAAGCAAGCTTCAATTTCAATTCCAAACTGAGGAAAGTAAAATTTACCCAATAAATAAATTAGAATAAAGACTTTATTTTTTATGTTGCGACGGCTATTTAGATATATGTATATTTTTTATTCAGTTGTTTTTCGATTTTTGTAATCAGTTATTTTGCATTTTTTTATATTTAATATAATGCTATACAGGGTGATTCTAAAAAAAAAGGATATGAATTTGAAATTTTAATAATATATCTATACAATTTGATTTAGACTATCCCTAAAACTATTGACTTAAGTCAATAGTTTTCAAGATATTAATTTTTTTCGTTAACATTTCGCCAAATGCAAGTTAATCAAAATAGCCTTTAATTTTTTTGTTATTAGGTTTGCTGACATGGCCTTGTAATTTTTGGAATATTAAAACATTGTTAAATGATTTAATTTTTTAAAGGTTTTTTAACAACTAGCTTGAGAAAAACCACTTGAAATTAGGCAAACTTCGAACAATAATAACGTTTTTATTATAAATGTAAAACCCTGCATGGTTTAACATAATCAAATAGAAAATTAAAGAATCTTTCGATTGGTATTATACCTAATAACTGTTTTAACTGGTTTAACAATTTCTAATATTTTCAATACTATTTTATATCAACAAACCTTTGAAATTCTACATGTGGGTTAATGTGACAGTATCCATGGTACCACTTAATCTGTCATTGTTTAAAATTAATTAAAACATTTGATTGAAAAATTAATAACTCGAAAAATATTGACTTCAGGTATAGGATAAATTAAAAAATGTAAAAATATATGAGGTGTCCTGTTTAGAATATCAAAGTTAAAGACATTTCTAGTAAAACAAGTATTATTTTGTTCAAAATAATTTAGAAAAAAAGTCTAATTATTTACGCTATTAAAATTAGAAACTTCTAACGGATTACGTATGTGAAACACCCTGTATATTAAACGTCATTTATGTGTTATGCTATACTTAATTATTAAAATATTAATAAAAGATACAACAATATTTGTATAAAAATGAAAAAATGTACTTAACTAAACATTTATGAATACTGCTACTGCTAATTCAAAACTGATCCTGGCCACAGAAACATAATTTGCATAAAAAAGTTAATATATTAAATACTCAAATTTATAAAAGAAAGTTGCTTCTTCGATTATTTTCCCTTTAAAAATGGATAAATTTTAAATTAAATTTTCACCAGCGTTATACAGTTTGAACAAATTTCAAATCGATACGTTTTGAAATAAAAAAGTTATTAAAAAAATGAAATTTCTTCATTTTTATCACAGTGAAGAAAAAAATTAAAATAAAAACAAAGTTGTCAATTGACGAGATTTTTTTTTAAAAGTACTGCATTTAGATGTAGAAATAAGGTAAAAAAGTTTCAATCGATTTCTTGAACCCTTGCAAATCGACCGTTCGATCCTTTCGCGTAGTTAAGTGTTAAAAATTAATAAATCTTTATAGTATCGCAATATTTTCGACAAATTTATTATACAAAAACAGGGCCCACACAGTATTTGACGTCACTTCCCTGTCGTGTCGTTTTTTCTATGGTTATTGATTACTATCTATCTTAAAACGTTCTCTTCCATTTAATCTTCGAATTTGAATCCTCGACTCAAGTAGAGAGCATAAAATTATTTATTTTTACATAGCCCAAATACCTACATGTAAGGCAGAATGAATAACATTCATCAGCACAAGAATTGAATGCTTGACTCATGTGTAGAAATCAGAACATACATAATTTGACTGCAAATACTTCAGGGAAGTATTGAGAAACTTGACCCATTGAGAAGTATTCAGCACCTTAAATTTCCTATATCAAATTCGTATTCATCACAAAATATTCAAAGACCATGAAGGTGAAAATGTTCACGTAATATAAAATAAATAATATTCATCAGCACGAGATTTGAACACTTGACTCAGGTATAGAAATCAGAACATACATCAACTTTGACTGTCAATACTTCAGAGAGGTATATATTGAGAAACTTAATCCATTGAGAAGTATTCAGCACCTTGAAGTAGCTATAACGGATTTCTATTCATCACAAATTATCTAATGACTATGAAGGTAAAAACATCCACACAAGTAAAGAGCAACAAAATATTCGGACACATAAGCTGCGAATATAAAAGGTCAAATCTTGAATAGAACCATATTCAGGTCCATTAAACTTAAATACGGCCAATATTTTTTAATTTGCAGTGAAGTCAAATACTAATTTACTTGAATCTTCCCCCAAAGGAAAATAATTAATAATACTTGGTAGAAATAAGTAATGGTTTTTTACATGGGCGTAATTTCAGCTTTTTAACTGCAAGGCGTACTGGGGGTCTGGGGGTATGGAATTCCAAACGTGTAAGGGGGTGGTGAACCCCCGGACAATTTGAACTAGCATTAAATTGTTCGTTTTTTAAGCTTTTTCGGTCTGTTTGAATTTCAAATAATTTCTAACCCCAGATTAATTGTTAATTACTAATTAATAGCCAACACATTTATAAAGTCTCATTTACAAGAGTAGGCCTATTTTTAGTTGATTGAGTGTTCTGCCTGATCAGTTATCATGTAAGTAAAAATAATGCAAACATCATACAAAAACAAATCTTTATTTAACTTTTACTAAATGCCATCATCATAGATAACAAAGCCTTCATCATAGGTTATTTTTATACAAAATTAAGTCTTCTGTTTAGTATTGAATTAAAGTCGTCAATTACTTTGTAAATGTCTATGCTTATCAACACTCCTTTCGATAGCCAAAAGAGCTAACAACGACATGTTAAATTTTATTTTACAGTTTGTAAATTATTGACATTTTTACTTCAAAATTCTGGGGTGGTAAAATCATAGGTTAGACAAAATACTGGGTTAGACAATTCTGACATAGATTATTTATTTATATTACTTAATGGGATGATGCAGTTGTAAAACTTAAATTAAAAAATAGATAACCATGAAAAAAAATTCAAACATTTTATTTCTGACAAAAAAACAGTTGTTCAAAATCATCCTAAACAGATTTCTTTTTATTTGTAAATGGTCTAACGAATTTTTAAAAAATGTTATTACTCAAAAATAATCACGATAACTCTTATTTTTCTAAAAGTTTTTTTCCTTTCTTTACCATTCCATACCTCAAATTTTATATCTTATTTTGCTATAGCTATAGTTTCGTTCACGCTTCTTATGCAGGTTTCTTTTCTAGTTTTGTTTTTATAATTTTCGAAACTATTTTTTTACTTATGCTTTGATACTTGTTTCGTTTCCATAACTGACCGCTGTTTTCCCAATGTTTTGGTCAGAATAGTAGTTTTGCGTTTCCGTGACATTCTGTTCTTGATATTTTCAATACCAATGGTTTCGTAAATAGTTATATTTCCATTAGAAACGTTATCTACGTACAATTTTGTCACAGTTGAATTTAGTTTTTGGTATACAAGGTGCACCATGATCCTTCTATGTGTATACTTCCATGGGTTTTTTATTTGAAGAGATACAATGTCGGTTAAATTAGACAAAAATTCCGTAATTACAAGCAATTTAACATGAAGTTTATAAACCATGTAAAATTCCAATATGGCGGACATAGGATAGGATAGGTGTTATCTTAAAATCCAGTAGGCGAAAAAATTGCAAGTTGGATGAAAATACACATTTATCGCATGTTTACATATAAAACTCATTTTTTAATTCCCAGGAATAACAAATTTATAACATTTTTTGATTTTGAGAGGTTTTTAGTTTCTTTAAATTATTTGAGAACCGCAGATATTTTTCCCAATTTTTAAATGCCATTTAAATATATACTTGTAATTACGTTAATTTTCTATAATTTAACCGACCTGGTAACTCTTCAATTAAAAAACATACCCATGCATAGAAGGATACTTGGTGCACCCTGTATGTTTCCATACCATTTCGTGCCACGACACCGTAACAGAAACGCGGTATCAAACCCTGATTTTAAGTATAATATAACAAAAATAAATTTTATTTATTTTTGTTTATTTGTTCTAGGTTCATGTAAATGTGATGGTATTAGAAGCTAGGATGCAAGCTGAACTGATCTATGCCCTGAGGACTGTGAATCGGTACATGACAAATTAATCTGTCCCAAAAATGTTGGTAATGTGTTGTAATGTTTACATATTGTATATTCACAGGCGTCCAGTCCGGACGAAAAATGAAATGTATAAATATGCACAGTGCTATGAGAGGTAGTTTTTTATTAATACCTATTAATTTTTGTTAATTATCTTAAGAAAAGATTTTTATGATTTAGAAGTTCATTTCATGTGTTTTGTATTTATCATGATTTGATCATTTGAATATGTTGATTGGTGATGTTGCCATTTGCATATATTTATTATTTGTTATTTTGAGTGCAAATAAATGGTTTTAACACTAAAGCCATATTTAATTTTCACCATTGATGTATTGCCTACTTAAAAAATAATAAATAATAATTGTTTGCTTATTTTTGGGGACATTGCTGAATGTTTAGATATTTTATTATTCGAACAATCTATAAGAATATATGTTGATATTTTTGTATAAAAACTCTTTTTCTACTGTTCTTGTTTATTAAAATAATATTTTGACAGTAGAAAAAAAATGCACCCATACATATTATATATGTGACAACATTTGTAAATAATTTATCAGCTAAATTCAATTCTCCTTTGGGCCACAAAGAATCATCAAGAATTTGACAAAAATATTTGGACCAAACGTTTTAATTGAGACCAAAAAATCATTTCAATAGAAAATAGTTTTATTTAGGCAAAATAAAGTTGTCAATTTAGATTTCTTACCAATGGACAATAAAGTTACTTTTCCCTAAAATAAAAAACAATGATTAATTGTTGTTCCAAACGAATTGAATAATACGTATATCCGAGCGTATATCTAAATATCATTTATATTATGTAAATATAAATTTTTTGAGTTAGGGATGTTGTATCTTGGCAGGAAAATGCCTTTATTATAAAATTTGCGAAATGTTATCATCTTAAAAAATATATTGGACTGTGATTTTATAATTTTGAAGGGGTAAATAGTATAATCACTTTAATTGGAGCGTGAGGGTTTCTTACATAATTTTTTTTAAATTTTGTGTCAGAATATATAAGGGAAAACCATCCACTGGACGTTTATATCGTCAAAGCACCCAACAGCTGCACTGCTCAACAGAGCAACAACCTTATAGAAATTTTGACATTATGTACAAATATTATTTAGAAAATAGTAGAAAATCGCCTTAGTAGTTATGAGGGTGCCATAAAACAATAGTCGCTTGAATGTCCAATTATCAATCATAAATGTATCAACTAGCTTCAGTGTTTTTGTTTGACAAAGTTTAGTTTAAATTCATGGCAAATTACACTGGTGGCCAACAACTTTTCTAAGGGTAATTAGGGGGCGCTGGTTCCAAAAATAACTATAATTTTGCTTAATTAGCCTTTGTTTTCAAGATATTGTAAAAAACTGTTTTTTCAACTTCAAATTCATATAGGTATATTTATTTTAATCAAATACTAAGACCAAGATCATTGGTCGTGAAGCGATATGTCCAAATTTAACTAAAAAAAATAATTATACACATATATAATTCCCTTAAAAACATTTTCAAACTTTAAAGTGCAATTTTACTACTTTATTGTATTAAAATTTCAACGCAATTAAATAAATATTGCGAAAATGGCACTTAAAACAACCGCGAGTTGTAAAGTTTCTATTTACGGTCATTTTCGCTTGTACGACTTAAGTCGTATGAAGTTTTAAAAAAATCCTGTGAACAAAAGTAACACTCATTAACTCATCATCACGAAATTTTGTTTTTGCCCTCAGTTTTCTTATGCTTAGGTCAAGGTAATTTTTGGTATTTCAGTCAAGTCCCTTCAATTTTATTTGTCATCTGATATGTTGAACTGTTTACTTAGAGGGAGTTCAACTTAAAGAGAGTTATGAAAATATTTACCCAATTAAAATGAGTTTTCAAGTTACAAATTCATACATAGTTTTCACCCGTTTTCTCACGTAAAAAAAAATAAAAAACGCTCGCACTTATGTATTTTTAATTTTAGAGAAAAAAATTATTTTTTTCTTTTTAACTAAGCGTGGGTGATGTTACCCCTACAATTTGTATAGAGAAGAGAGGTCAAATGATATCCCATTTTTAAGGCCCTACTTTCCAAAAAAAATATTTTTAATTTAATTATATCTTAAATATAAATTTTAATACAATAAATTACACAATTTTTTAAATTTCGTTAAAATCGAACAAAAATAGTTTGTTAGCAGTAAACAGCAAACTTAAAAAAGGGATTTTATTTCGTTAAAAATAAGTTTTTTAAGGGACTTACTTTATGAATGTGTATAATTTATTTTTTTAGTTAAATTAGGACTGATATGTACATGTCCAATCCTTGGTTAAAGTATTTGATTAAAAATATATATATATACTAATATAATTAAACATTTCAATGTTTTCATATTGAAAAAACGTTTTTTTTAGAACTTCTCTATAACCACTGATTAAGAATTGATCCTTCACTCAACGCTATTATAATAACAAAGACTTATTGAGCAAAATTACCCTAAAAAAGTTGTTGACTTCCCTGTGGCAAACAAAGAATTTAATTTTGGTGACTAGTGATATCACAAGAATATTGAGGAGTAATATCAATTTTACAGCCAAATAAAACAAGTTTTACGTTTGCATTGCACACTATGCTTTATAACAAATAGTTTAAAAATTAATACTTTTTAATAAATCGTACAACTGTATAAATCGATGTAATGACTGTTAGAACTTTTTATTACAAAAATATGATAATTGCCTATGACTTCCTTTGTATAAATAACATTAACTGTAAATCCAATATATTTAAAAAGCCGGATCTGGTTAGAGTTTGTAAAGACCCCTGGATCCAATCAGAGTGGAGCAAAAAATACTTTTAACCTTGACAAAAATGAACACATTTGGTGCTTCATAATGACGACAAAAGTATTTTTTGAACCGTCATTGTTGTTTAGGGAGGCTTAAGATATTCTCAATAAATTATTGTTAATGACTGATGGTTCAAATAAGAGTGATTTGTTTCTTTTGCTAAGCACATTAAGTAACATTATATATAATATATATATATATATAACATAAATATATATAATATTATGTAAAAAGGGAAAATATTTGTTTTTATCTTGATCTCAGTATTGATTTTAAATTTCATTTATAATTAATTAGTATTTTCACTGCCATACAATTCACTTGTATTTTTAAAAACATTCAAATTATCAGTCAAAATTAACTTGATGATTTTAATTTAAAAATGTAATACTACATTTTTATTTAAACCCATCTCTACATTTTCAATAGACCATGTAGTTTTTTAATTTAATTTGTTTGTTATTTATAAATATGATTGTATATTGCTATTTTTTTAAGGTTTCATACAAATTAAATTTTAATATTGTAATTATATGTAGAAATAACATAATGCTGTGATGTTACAATTTCTGTATTTATTTGAAACAATAGTTTATCTAGTTGTTATTTTTTATTTATATTTTATTATGCTGAATGTTTTACACATACAAATTTAATTTAATTAAATTTGTATATGTTAACTGTATAATGTCAAACTTATAAGTTTATTTTTTTGTTGTAAAATTAACTTGAAAATTTTAATTAAAAACGAGACATTTTATATGTACTAATCATTCAAATATTATGTTGATTTTAAGTGTAAAATGTTTAAAATATGACTAGTTAAGGTTTTACGTTTTTTAAATAGTTTGCTTTAAAAATTAAGTACAGTACAAAAATAAATGAATTGGATAACGATTTAAATATAGACATTGAGTAAAGAAGATCTTCTTTACTCAATGATATAAATACTAACGCTGGGCCCAACATTAAACAATATAAATGTACCTATGCATTTTAGTATCATCTATTTATTTTTTAATTTCATAGCAAAAGAAACTTTTATAACGATAAAAATATCAGTAATTAAACACTAAATGAGCTAGATTGATGATGACGATAAATGCCTCGATGATAATTCTTATTTTTGCCGTGCTAAATGTTTTTATTTTTATTTTTTTTTGTTAGAACTTATAAACTTGATTGGTTTTAATTTGATTTGTTATTTTTAGTTTTAAAAACACTTTCCTTTGATTATTTTATTTTTGGATGATTACCAAGGTGGTTTTTGTGATGCCTGTTATGAAATCCCCATTTATTAAGTCACAGTTAAGTTGTTGTGGGGTTATTCTCCAATTTGTGATATTTATCTGTATGTGATTACTGTGTAATAGATTTTAGATTGTTTCAATTGAATACCTACAATAAGTTTTGTTGATGTTTAACCATAGACTTTTAGTGAGATGTTTTAATTTAATTAATCCACTTCAAAATTAATAAAGTAGTTTCATGCTAAGCTGAATTTTACTTTTTATATTATACTTACCTAAGTTTCTTAAACTTTACAGGTCTTTCATATTTCTTCGCTACATAAAACGAACGTTCGACAAAGACTTTATAACAAAATTTATTACAAAAAATAATATGCTAGGCAAAGTGATACGATACGAGCGCTGTATAGTTGATCGTATATAAGTAAGTTATTATGTATAAAAATTAACGCATTTAACTAAAAAAAACAATTAAAAATAAAATAATTTTCATAAAATAAAAATATTTATAAACATTAAGAACTAATACCAAAAAATTTATTATTTTATGTATGCCAGGCAATAAATCAACGGTAATAAAATCCCCTTCGAACATTATTCAGCATTAAGGGGTAATATTTTGAAAAGTATTAAGAATATTAATTCCTAATGCAGTTAAACTATTAGTCCTTTTATGTCCGTATACACTGGATTTCATATACATACCCAAAAGAAAAAATCAGGAGACAGATCCGGTGATCTCGCTGGTCAGCGAATTGTACTTTGGTAAGGCTTTCTGAAGTGGACACTGAATTTAAATGGGTCGGAATTTTATAATGTTAATTTTTTTCAAAAGAAAGTCCCTATATAGGATATAACTTATTTTATAACAAATTTTATAAAAATATTCACTTCTTTATTTTTATAAACAATCAAACTTTTCAGCAGTGCTTTTTTTAAAAAAAGCAATATTTTTTTTTTAAATCAATAATACATTGTTCTACAATACTTTATTTTTTTTGTTTCAATTCCATCCTTGTTAGATTTAGAACAAGATAGTTTTGCAGTAAATTTGTTTGATTGAAAATTGATTTTTTTTTATTATAAAAAAAAACTTTTTTACCATTAAGATTTTGAAGTCAAAGCGGTATGGAACTTTTTTATTTCTGCGCACGGAAGGCGTATCGGTCAAGTTTAAAAAACGAAGAAAAAAATACAGAACCAAAATATCTTAATAATTGGGCAAAATATTGTTTAAATCATTTTATTTTTGCACCAAAAATAAATACAAAAAAAAACATTCTAAGAAATTAAAACCCCGTTCCACTGATTTATTCTTATAGAAAACAAAATCGATTAGCTCAAAACAAAGCTCTAAAACCGTAAAAAATTATCGACGGTTTTGGCTATTTGTATTAGTATATTATGTACATATTAGCTAAAACCCTCGAAAAATTATCGACGGTTAGCTATTTGTAATAGTATATATATTAGGTATATGATAGCTAAAACCGTCGATATGTTGCGAGCTGAAAAAACATTGCAATTGTTTTTGTTTTCTTCTTTAGAAATGAAACAGTAGAATTGTTGCGCATTTTTTAAAGTTTAACAATGTTTTAATTTTTAACTCTTATCAATTACTCGAATTATTAAAAAAAATCAGTTTTTAATTTCAAACTTTGTCGCCCTGTATATCGAACATGAAGCTCTAAATTGAAAAATGGTATTATGAAAGTCTTATTGTTTTAACTCAAGGAATATATGGTTAACGGATTGACCTCCTTTTCCCGGACACCCTGTATATATGGGGCGTGGCCTCGCCTCCCTCCAACGCGCGACACAGTAGCTAAGCAAATAGACTGCATCGCTAATGAGATTTTTTGCATTATTATCATTTAATTTTTTAAGTCCTTACCTGCTCGACCTTTCGTCATGTCGTTTATCACACAAGCAACTGTGACGCGCCTTGGAGGTAGGCAAGGCCACGCCCCATATATATATAGATATATTCGGTTTTAGTATGAACAAGCTGTATATATAGCAAGTACTATAATCAGCTGTTGTGGTCAGATTTTCATACAGTTTAAAGTTTAAAATATATGATATTTTTATCATAATTAAAAAAAAAATATTACTTGAAGAATTTAGAAAGTTAAAATTTAATTTGTATGTACTTATAATTATTAAATTACAAAGTTATTTTATAGAAAATATCAATATTTTATGAGTAAAAACATACATGTAAAATTTTTAATAAATTAAACGCTGCTGTTTAGTGACGCTTGCGCATAACAGCGCTTTTAATATAGCCCACAGTTTGGAATGAAAAAGATGATAGTGAGAGGCGTGGACAGTTCTTTATAAACCTAATAAATATATGCTTCATCCCTTTCGCACGCACGGTAACCAGACGCGTGCTGCGGCAGCACTGCTGCCGCGATCTGGGATTCCTGCGGGCGAGCGGGCGCGTATTTTGAACTATGCCTACGCGCCTTGCGAATAAAAATGTTCATTAAGCGCGTATCACTCCGCGCTCTCGCCGCGCCCGGTCACGTGGTCCGTGTGCTGTACCCCTGGGTATCGGTCGAGTTGATATGGCCACAGTAAAACAAGAGTGAAATTTCTGTACTTGTACTATTATTTATTCTGTGGTCAAAGTTAAGTAAATGATGAGTTGTCCAATGGACAATATCCATTCGTCATTCGTCTGTAAAGTGTGAATTTGGCCGCCCTCTGAACTTGCCGCCCGGGGCATGGGCCCCGGCTTGCCCCCCCTAGATCCGCCACTGACTTATAAAGAGCTTTTCGTTACCTACCTGTTTTAAAAACCAATCAATTTGGGCATGGTTATGTACCTAATATTACTATTTATGTTGGAAATAAATAAAATATTTTCTTTGCTTTATAATATTATTTTGGCATCTGATATAAAAATTATGTTTAATACAGTCTTTAAAATTGTAAATAAAACAAATTTAATTAGCTTAACTAAAGAGAATGTCATGCAAGGTTTTTAAATAAAATATCAGGGTTGGCTGCCCAGTGGGTAACCCAAAAAAACCCAGTGGGTTTTTTGGGTAGAATAGACTTAAAAAAGCCCACAGGGTTTTTTAAGTGTTTTTTTTTTCGTAAGCTTTAACATTTTTGTATATTTTTTATAAAAAAATCATTACATTTTTATGTATAAAAAAAACTAGTCTTTAATTAAAAGAAGTACACCCTAAAACTGAGAAACGATCAAACCATTGACCAAACAAAACGTATAAAGTTAGAGGGTTCCCCTGCCGATCTATACATCTGTAATTTTATAGTTAACGAATGACTGCGAAAATAAGTTGTGAAGGAGAAAGTAGTGAATACGAGGTGTGTTCAGAAAATAACGGGAATTGTTCAATTTCGCGGGTTCGGAGGGTCCGGTTGTCATAAATTTTCTTTATTATGTTGGTATACATGCCCCCGAAGTATGATAAAAACTTTAGCTGTTTTCATTGTTTACTTTGTCTGTGGCAGCCGCTAAGGTTAGACGTGTTTTTTGAGCTCGGCGATTTTTCGTTCGTTAAAAGAAATGGATCAAAGGAGTTGTATACAATTTTGCTTAAAAAATGAAATAAAAAAATAACAAATAAATAAAGTTTTTATTGCATATTCAGTACAATACAGAACATATAATACAAAATATACAAAAGGCCATCGACCGGGGTCCTTCAGCCTGAAATAAATTCTGTGAAATGTTAACAAAGGCCTATAGTGAGTCTGCTATAAGTAAAACAAGAGTTTACAAGTGGTATAAGAGTTTTCAAGATGGCCGTGAAGACGTTGAAGATGACGATAAAAACATGGAAAAAGTGGAAGAAATGGTTATAAACCATCAGAGAAGTCGCTGATGATGTTGGCATATCAATTGGCTCATCCCATGAAATTTTTTCGAATGTTTTGGGTATGAAGCGCGTGGCAGCAAAATTTCTTCTAAAATTGTTAAATTTTTGGCCAAAACAATACTGTAATGATGCCCCAGCCTCCATATTCGCCAGACATGCCTCTGTCTGACTATTTCCTATTCCCAAAAATAAAGAGAACCTTAAAGGGCCGTCGTTTTGCAAGCATAGATGACATTAAAAGCGCATCGCTGAAAGAACTAAAGGCTATCTCAAAGAATGAGTTTTAGAAGTGTTTCAAGTATTGGAAGAAGAGCTGGCACCAGTGGCGTGCAGGACGGGCCCCGCAGGGCCCGCAGTGCGGGGGGGCCCCCGACCTTAGGGGGGCCCCGTAGAGAACCACATTGGGTGGTATAAGTGACAAAGGGGCCCCAGCTCAAAATTTGCGGGGGGGGGCCCGATCACCTTTGCACGCTACTGGCTGGCACATGTGCATAATATCCAATGGGGAATATTTTGAAGGCGACAACATTAATGTAGACGAATAAATAAATATTTGTTTCAAAAATTCCCGATATTTTCTGAACACACCTCGTATATATATATATATAATTTTTCTCATCGACAGTATTTGTTTTTAATGTTGTTTTTTTACTAACATCAACAATTAAAAAACCCAATAAAACCAACTTATAAAACCCAAAAAAGCCCAATGGGTTAAATTTGGGGTTTTTCAACCCTGCCTAATAAACAAGAACGATTTGTATTAAAATGTTGGCTCTTAAACTGTATTATTTCAAATAATTTATTTGTTTCAAGAAGCATTGTGTCCCTTTAATAAATAATGATTGAGTAAAAGAAAAGCCTGGCAAATATTGCATTTATACTGATTTTTACTTGCATAATTTGATAATAAATATTTTCATTGTTAATTACAAGGGCATCAAAATGAAAAATTTTACAGGAGAGTATAAAAACGTTATTGTAAATAATTAGTAGTATTTTGAGACACACGTAACTTAGATAGGCCTATCAGGTCTGCCAATAAGTTTTCAAAAAAGGTTCGTTAACGAACGTGTTTTTTCGCATGCGACATCATGGTGGATCGAGATACGAACGTTTTTCCACAAGTTTCACACGAATACGGTCGTTCGCCGGTATGGAGGCGCTTATGAATCGCCATTGGAGTAAACTGGGTAAAGGTTTGCCCACAAACTTCACAGCTAAAAAATATTAAGGTTAGTTATAAGATACAGAGTGTCATGTAATAATTTGTCATACCTTGGGGGAGAATATTCACGCCAAGGTAAAAAAAAATTCCTTTATCACTTTTGCATTAGTGCTACTGTTTTTGAATAAAATTTTCTTGGTATCCACTGGTTTAGTTGCGTCAGCAACAGTTGTCAACGACGAAGTATAGTCGACAGCAGTCGCGATAAGAACCACAGTTAAATAACTGTCCGACGCTACTTAGTCCATCGACCCCAACCGTTTACACGTTAGGGAGGTCATTGTTTTAACAAATCCAGGGGCTGCCAAAAAAATGCCTAAGAATTACGTTAATTTTCATATTTTTTTTATTTAAAAACAGTAACACTAATGCAAAAGTGATAGAGGAAAAACTAAATTTGGAGTAAACTATCATCCCCCAAGGGATGAAAACTTATTACATGAAACCCAGCATTTTAAGTTAAAATATTATAGCAGCATTTTAAGTTAGGTATACCTAAAATGTATACGTTTACTCATAAGTTGACTTATGAAGAAACCAAAAGACAAACGTAATAAAAATAAATTAAATAGCACAGATTTAGGTAAAAATAACGTTAAAATTACTGAATGTTTGTTCTATTTCTAAACGTTTAAACATTTATATTTTCTTTGCCTCTTTAATTTATATTTCAAAATGGTATACCTAAAGTACGTAATAATTATTACCATAAAGTAAAATTAATAAATATAACTTATATTGCCAAACTAATTATATTTATCATTAAAATCTTATCTGATTGATAAAAATAGCTGACACATCACAAAAAATCTATGCCCTCTAAATATTTTGGTGTTAAAATAAAATATATGACTTATGTACAAAATAAATAAATCCAAAAATCTTACATACTTATATAGGTACCTTAAAAATCATTTAATTTGAATAACTTCGTAATAATAATAATAATAATTTAGTTTTTTTTTTATATTTGTAAAAAATGATTATATGAATTTATTAATTTAAATGGCGTCTTTTATAAATATTACCTCTTTAGTTTTATTTTTCACTTAATTCATAAATATTTTTGTATACAACTTTAATACCTACTTTAAAAGTTCCGAGGCAAATAAGAATTATTTACAGTAATAAAGTGGTTTTAACATTTTAAAAATATGACTTATAAGTAAAATTTAGTTTAGATTAAAAATATTTCCGTTAAATTTACCGTTTAATATACCTTAAAATAAAATAAACCTATAAGTAAATTTCTATCATAAAAATTAGGTTATATAAACATAATTAAAATAATTCAAGGTATTGTCTACTGCGCCGCCGGCGGGTTTTTGAAAATTTTATGGCTTCCCCGCCGCCGGCGTTTTTAAAATTTTATTGCCGCACCGTCGTTGTTTACTAAGGTTATGTTATACCTGGGTCAAAATTTATTTACAGGCACTTTTCAGTCCCTGGTAAAACAAAAATTTTTTTCAAGCATTACCTGGTTACACATACCATTCCTGTGTAAAGGCACATATTTTCCAGTAAAAAACAAAGTACAGTAGCTTTTGTATAAAAAAAATTAAAAGTAACAAAGTTTAAAATGACAAAATGTAACGCCGGTCACATGTCCCTGTCGTCTGTTTATTATGTTAAATCTGTTGCATTTCACTGTCCAAAGTTGAAAATAAATATTTAAATAATTTACGATATAGAAACAGTTACGTAATTTTTTAATCAATTTTTCTTATACTCCTCTTTACAATATCAAAGTTTCGGTAGTGCCTTAAAGCTGTGTCCCCCAGATTGTCCGTAACGCCGGTAGCACTCCATATACGCTCACATTTTTGTCGCCAGAGGCGCTAATATCAGTCTTCGTTAAATTTTGTGTTACGAAAACTTTGCTGCTAGTGATTTTGCATTAAAATGGTAAGTTTTCATTAAATTTTCTTAATTTTTCCTCAAATTATGAAAAAATTAGTTCAGGCGTATGTTTTTGTGTCGTAACACCAGTCACATGGCCTATTTTTAATATTCTTCAAATTTCTTATTAATTGCTAAATATAAAAGTATTTTATTTATTTATTTATTTACATCAATATATGCGTTCACAGTAAATATGAATATTTTTTTATTTCGTTATTACGTTTTACAAAATTTGTTTAATAATCTATGATTTGAACGTGTGACCGGCGTTAAAAAAGGTTGCTTAAGGAAGATGCCGGAAATTCAGAAACCTACATATCCAGTGCGGACACATACAAAATTTGGTAGAAGAAACCTGTACCAACTAAAAAAATTGGGGTTTTTTAAAATGCACCGACTTTTATTTTTTAACTTTTATTTTTCGGAATTGGCCCGTAAATAAATTTTGACCCACCTACCTTTAAATAACTTTATTCAAAGTGTTATACCTATATAAGTGGAATTATGGTTATGTTATTAGCCGTATATATGGGTAGCGTTTATCGAAAAGGAACCAAGCGCCAAAAACTTTTTCCGTGGTAAACAAAATTATTTGCAAAATAACTAATTTTTAATGCTGCTCAAAAATTAATAATTATTTGGGAACCTTCTCAATTCTTTTTAGAAAAAATTCAAATGATGATTAACCTTTTGAGGATTATTAAATATGAATTATTTTACAAATAATTTTACTAAGCCCAAAAATAGTTTTTGGCGCTTGGTTCCCTTTTGATAAGCGTTATCCATATGTAAAAATGGAAGATATTGTTGTTGTTTCCTTGGGAATCACATTACATTACATCACATTTGATGTTATAATAATTATTAATAATAATATCGTTACGTAAATGTGTAAAACTGACAAGTCCATTTTTTGCAGTTTATGCATTTTTGGTACCAAATGAAAAAATGGTTTTACACATTTAGGTGACGATATGTTAACATTTTTAATGTTAATTTCAAAATATTAGTTGAACAGTACAAGGCAGATCGTTGACTAAGATTTTGGTATAAAAAACAATAGGTAATAGTATTACTATTACGGGATTGACGGTTCAACGCCATTCCACATCTTATGATGTGGATATTGGTTATTCAACAGAGTTATTTAATAGTAAAAATTTTTAAAAAACATTAATGTTTTTTTAAGCATTTAAACCAATATTGGATAAAAAATGTATACATGTCCTAGCATTAAGTTAACAATTGTTAATATCAATTGACATTGATTTTTGACCATGGTTCATACAAAAAAATCAGCTTGTTTTAAAAAAATGTGCCACAACATGCGTCAGGAGAAAAAAATACTTACATATATTGCAATATACTTTTATATTTCATTAAAAAAATCTTTTACACAAGAAAAATTAATATTTAAATTTAATTATAATATATAATTATTTAAGTCAATCTTTTGGCCCTTTTAATGATAAGCTACTCAATTAATTTTTTTCCTAGCGGAAAAAATGCTTGTTTTATCTCATCTTAAGATCAAACCCTATAGACAATACCTATATACCCAACTTGGGTGGCTAGGGATTTTAGTCAAATCCATTGTTTCCCTAAAATTAAAAAATCATAAACCTTATAAATTTAGAAATGTCCGCATAATGTTTCAATGAAATATTTCTCAAATATGTGAGAAATATTTCGGTTATATCTGAAATATGTCAGTAATATTTTAGAAATAATTCTGAAACATTACAGTTACGTTATATTGGACCACATTTAGATATTGCCTTTAAAATTGTTTGGGAAAAAGGCTTTGCAGCAGTTTTTACTTTTTTTTAAGCAGGACCTTGGACATTTGGAAAGTTTTTTGAAATTTCATAGCCTATTGACAAATCCAATGAGCTTGTTGTATTTAAGAATTCTTCAACTATATTCTTGTTTATTTCTTTGCCATCAATCATAAATCCATAATCAAGAAAATTGTTACAAACTAATTTTAACAGGTGTGGTACCTACACCAATAAATACAAAAATGATTTCATTTGTTGTGGGATTCTTTTTAATTGACGTTTAACTCATTTAACATTCAACAAGTTTTTCTTGTACCATAAACATAACCGTATAAAATACACTGATAAAATACATAACATAACCTCTGTATACTAACGGCAAGGACGGTGCTGCAATAAAATTTAAAAACGCCGGCGGCGGCGTAGCCATAAGATTTTTAAAACCACGCCGGCGGTGCGGTAGACTCTGCCATAATTCAAAGTTGTGAAACTTTATGGTTATAAAAGAAAGTAAAAAACTCATAATAAAAACTTGACAAGAATTTTTACTTTGATGACAGTTTTTAAAGTTAATTTAACAACATAATTACTTAAATTAAGTAATAAATCCGCAAAGGTCGACTATTTTACTTAAAATGCTGCTTGGGATAACTTATATCCCAATTTAAATAAAGGGTCTCTTCATAGAAACAACGCATTTTTTGCTAGTTTTTTTATGTTGGGACGTTTGCTTTGGTTTATTTTTTTGTTTTAATTATTGGATGCCACACACTTCAACAATGATTACAACTTTATACATACAAGTTTATAGGGAATTTAGAATTCGGTTGCCACATTTTAACGTTTACTTTAATTTTATAAGTTATATATATACACTTTGCGTCAAATTTAACGCACCACTAAAAATTTGCCACAATTTTAGTTGATTTTCTCGCGAACCATCGAACCGAATTTGGTAGTTTTTGTTTTAAATTATAGGTTTATTCTTTGGTTATGTCGCCTTTATTAAAATATTTTTTCAAATTTGCGTTTTGAGTATATACAGGGTGCAAGAGTAATAATAAGTTTTTTCCTGTAAATTTGAAACGCCCCGTGGGTTGTACCAGCTACAACAGCATATGTCTCTTACAATCCAACTATAGCCCCATCTTCTCTTAACATTTTGTTTTTTAATTCACCGCGTTATCTTTATTTTTAAAAGAAATATACAGTTAAATATTAAAGAACTCCAGTTTAATAAAAAAATTTAAAAAAAACGATTTTAACAATAACAATAAAAATATGAAGAAAATCAATAAAACAAAATGTTAAGAAAATATAGGGCTACAGTTTAATTATATGAGTCATAGGGTGTTAAAGCTGGTACAACCCACAGGGCGTGTCAAATTTCCGGGAAAAAACTTATTATCACTCATGCTTCCTGTATATACTCAAAATGTAAATTTAAAAAATATTTCAATAAACTTATTATTACCGAAGAATTAACCTACAATTTAATAAAAAAATCACGAAATTCGGTTTGACGGTTCGCGAGAAAATCAACTTTGAAATTGTGGAAAATTTTTAGTGGTGCGTTAAATTTGACGCGAAGTGTATTTTAACTTTTGGGTTGACTCCAAGAAGACTAAATAAAGGAGTAACTATTGACCACGAGGCATAATATATTACACAATACATACACTCACAGTGTGCGCACGAGCATTTTGCGTCTGTGCGTTACTACTTACTGACAAACGTACGTTTTTTGGCTTGCCTCCACCTAGCAAGTTACTCCTCCTGTATTTAGTATTCTTGGTTAACTCCCTTAAATCCTACGGCCATTCCACGATTTATTATTAATTATTAAAAAAATCTATTTCAAAAACAAAATGCGTTGCTCTTATTGAAATGCCCTTTATAAGAAGAAATATTACCTGTATGGCCTTTCTCCTGTATGTGATCTTCTGTGGCATCTTAAAGCATCTCTTCTTGCAAATGCTTTACCACAAATTTCACAAACAAAAGATTTTTCGCCTGTGTGAAGGGTGGAGTGAATTTTTAAGTCTACTCTGGTTAGAAAGCCTTTACCACAAACCTATTTAAATAGTAATCGTTAGAATAATACAATGCTGCTTTAAAATTGTATTAAACTTACTTCACACATAAACGGCTTTTCTCCAGTGTGTATTCTCAAATGCGTCTGTAGGTAACTTTTTGAAACGAATAATTTTGAACATATTTTACAAGCATACTTTCTATTATCTAATCCAGTATGAATTTTTTCGTGTGCCCTGCACAACCCTACAAAAACATTATACAATATTTTTAAATATATCTTAATTTTTTATGACATACCTTTAGTTATAAATCCTCTACCGCAAATATCACAAATATAAGGCTTTACGCCAAGATGTCTGTTGGTATGGTCAAGCAAAGACTGCTTGGTCTTAAAATCCTGACCACAAGTGGTGCAATGGTAAGGTTTAACGTCGGAATGGACTCTTTGATGCACCATTAAATAACTTTTGCACTGGAAGCCCTTCCCACAAGTGGGACATGCAAACAAATATTGACCTAAAACAAAACACTAACTTAAAAAAGAAAGTAAAGAAAGTTTGTTTTTTAATTATTATTTTTTATTGTTATTTATCAAGAGTTTTATTTATATTATATTTTAAAAAAGAGTTGGAACCGATCACTTTTATAAATGACCATCATAGTTTCAAATAAGAACGATTTTAAATTTCCGGTCAAATTACAAGGGAATTTGGCTTGAATCCAAGCCCCAAAATCTTAAGATTAAACGCACAAAACGTTAGGTTCAGTTTTCAATTTAAAACCTTTAAATGTTAATGAGAAGTAGTTAACTTTGAAATTTTGTGTACAAATAAATTTTACAATTACAATTCCAATGTTATTTATCCTTTATTATTAAAAATATAACATTACACTGATGTTTTCAATTGTTACGCCTTGTTATAGGTATTCAATGTATTCTTTGTATTTTTTTCCACTCCTATTGCAAAATGGATAATGATTTACATCTTTCGACTGGCGGCTTGTGATGTAAATCTTACCCTCGTGAATAATAGCTTGTATTATCTCTCCTATAATTAAATAAAAGATAAAAACAACAAAAAACTATGGTAACCCATGATAGTATACTAAAGGAGTAACCTTGATTTTATAATCTCTTTATGGGGTAGTAAAAAAAAGTTGTATAACTAAATTAAAGTAATGACTAAATCACAAGTATTTGGTATCATTAAAAAGCTCTAAATGCAAGCTTTATAGAATACTTAAAAAACGTTCTACTAAATCACAACTATTTAAAAAGCTCTTGATGCAAGCATTAAAAAAAATGTGTGTGACAAAAACAATGTGACCGGTCATTTCCCTGCTTAAAATACCCCATAGAGACCATAAAAAATAATCTATCGGGCGTCCATGTTTTTTTCGGATACGACCTGATAGAAAATTTATAGGAAATTACCTACAGGTACACCATAACTTCTACATTTCCCCTATTGAGACCGACAGCCAATAACTCAAGGAAGGATATATAGGGATAACCCGATAGAGCAACCATAAAACATTTGACAAAATTTTGTTAAAACCTATGGGGTCCTATGGTAGAAAAACTAATTTCTACATTTATGTGTATTTCCCTATTGAGACTGATAGCAAATAAATCAAGGAAGGATATCCCTATAGAACAACCATAAATCCCAACTATTCATACCGAAACACCCTATAGAAACACCATACAATCCAATACAAAAATCTATAGGTTTGAACAGGGTCTCTATGTGACATTTTAACCAGGGTTGCCTATATTTTAAAATAATAAAGACCATATTGTTGAGCTGGCATAATTTAACTTTTTATGAGCAATAGAGTAGAAATTTTCCAAATGACCTTAATATTTTTAAGTTAAAAGAAAAATTAAAAATAAGTATTGGAAAACAATTCACTCATTAATATCAAGTCACGTTATACAAATTTTTGAGAAAAATTCTTTTGTTTATGTAGGTACAACCCGGACAACAATCGGGATTTCCTGGTGAAGTCATGATGATATCACAACGTGATTTTTTTATCACGCTGTGATATCCTGAGTGCATACACATGCTTCATCACAGTGATATCATGTAGAACTCACGGTGTAATATTTGCAAAATTTACGCATGCGTATGAGCCCTGCGAACTGCGAATTTAAAACCCAGTTTTTTATTCACATTACACCGTTGTAATTTATAAAACGTTTTCACAAATTTTATTCCTACTGATATCATACGGAAGTCACCGCAAAAAATATTGAATGTATTTAACCACAAAAACTGTTGATTCAATATGTATACTTTTTCTCTCAATGTACGAATGTGGCGCAAAAATAAATATCCAAACACCGATGGCATAAAAAATCACGACATGATTTTTTATGCCATCGGTGTTTGGATATTCATTTTTGCGACGCATTCGTACATTGAAAGAAAAAGTATGTTAACAATTGAATCAACAGTTTAACATTCAATATTTTCTTGGATTCAAATTAACTATATATAGTTAATTTAAATCCAAGAAAATATTAAATGTATTTAACCGCAAAAACTGTTGTTTTAACATAATTTTTCTCTTAGTGTACGAACGTGGCGCAAAAATGATTATCCAAACACCGTTGGCATAAAAAATCACGACATGATTTTCATTTCTCACGCAGTGACATCCGGATGATGTCCGTATGAATAAAATTTGTGAAAATCACGACTTGACGTTCGTATGATTTTCATTTATCACGCGGTGACTTCCGTATGATATCAGTATGAATAAAATTTGTGAAAATCACGACATGATGTTCGTATGAATATCACGAATGTTGTCCGGGAATGGGCAAATGAACATTTCTGCTCAATTTGATTTAACCCTTATGTGCATAAAGAATAAATATACTGATACCGCACAGCTAGGTACAATTGTACCTTATACTAGAAAACATGTTTTTGTTTTGCGAAAGTTTTTGGAATTGTTTAATGTTTTATGTTTTGGTTAGTAGGTATATCTCTCTAAAGAATTAAAAGCTTTAAAATAAAAAAAATATATAAACAAATATTGTTTTTTTTTGCGTAGGCAGTTTTGTGGAATAGAAATATTTTAGTATTGATTTGGTTTTATAAAGTGTTTGAAGACATGGAGAGTCAAAGTGATTTAGGACGCGAAAATAAACCTCAAGAATCTAAAGGCCCGAAAACAGTATATATATACTGCGTGCCAAAAAAAAAACGCAACACCTAGATGGAATTGATTTATTCCAATTTTTATTTTACTAATTTATAATTGATCAAAGATTTAAACAAAAATTCCAAAGTATAAAGTGTCAGATATTAATAATGGGTTGGACCCCCTCCTTGCTGTAGACACTCATTCTGCCGTGATTAATGAAAACGCCGTAACCAACAATTGTGCGATTTTTGTTTTACAGCATTTTCTACTAGAAAAATTCATCCTGCGTCTATCCCCGGTACTCAAAAAACCGTATCTATATATATACGGTATTTTGAGTACCGGGGATAGACGCAGGATAAATTGTTCTAGTAGAAAATGCCGTAAAACAAAAATCGCACAATTGTTGGTTACGGCGTTTTCATTAAGCACGGCAGCATTGACGCGTCGTGGCATAGATCTTATGAGATTATCTACGTTTTCTTGGGGTATTTCATCCCAGGCCATTTGTATCTGACGTCTAAGTTCATTTAGAGACTGTGCAGGGCGCTGTAAATTCCTTAGTCGTCGTCCCATCATATCCCACACATGTTCGATTGGGGAAAGGTCTGGAGATCTGGGTGGCCAAGGCAGTAAATTCACATCAGAGGCTTCTAAAAAGTTTAATGTGTTTCTGGCAATATGTGGACGGGCATTGTCTTGCTGAAAAATTAGTCGTTGATTCCTTCTTATGTATGGAAGAAGATAAGGCTCCAAAACTTCATCAACGTATCTCTGGGACGTCATATTGCCTCTTATAAAAACTAAAGGTGACCTACTGCCATAAGCAATAGCACCCCATACCATTAAACCCATAGTGTGGTGAACATGCCTCTCTATAGCAAAGCGAGGATTACGCCTTTCTCCACGTCGCCGTCTTACCAACGCCCGCCCATCGTGCATGCCCAAGCAAAAGCGCGATTCATCACTAAACGCAATGTGATTCCACTCATCATCCCACTGTTGACGTTCCATACACCGTCTGTGATTTGCTGTTAGAGGTAAGACCAAAAAAGGGCGATAGCTGCGTAGGCCAAAAGACCTTATACGGTAGTAAACAGTTCGAACAGCAATTGGTCTACCTTCATCGGCAAAAAACTCATCCGCAATCATCCGCGTTGAACTCATCCTGTCCCTTAGGGCTAATAATCTAAGACGACGGTCTTGAGCCTCTGTGGTAGCTCTGGGTCGTCCGGAACCTCTTCTTCTACGTGTTCTGCCTTCTTCACTCCATGACTGCCAACAACGCATTACAGTACTCACATTTCGATTTATTCGCCGCGCTATTTCTCGAAACGAAATTCCGGCCTCATGCAGGCCCACTATTCTTCCCCTATCAAACTCGCTTAATTGACTAAAATTATTTCTTCTTCGTACTCTAGGCATGTTAATCATTACTGAATAATAAAACAATTAAACAATTACCAAGTAATAAAATAAAAATAAAAAACAACAGCTTGCGACACCTTGAAAACCAAAGCAAAAAAAAACATTTGAATTTATTGTTGTTTTTATTTCCCCCCCTTATAGGATATAATTTTTACACGATATAGAAGAAGTTTTAGAGGTTAGAATTAAAAAAAACGTTTTTTTCTTTCTACCAAGATCTATAAAAACAGACCTTATAATAGGAAAATGCATGACAAAAAAAATGTTTATTGTTTGGTAATTGTTGTTAAATTGTTGCTCGAAGGACCATAAAACGATGCTTGTGTTTGTTTGATGTTGTTGTATTGTTGATTAAAACCACAATAGTGTATGGTTTTTAAGTAGATATTCATTTACACATAACTTAAACTAAAACTATTTAAACAAGTGAAATAAAAACTAGATCATTGGCGATCAATTTGGGTAGTCGATACTGCCCATGTGTTGCAATGCTGCTTAATTGAGTGAATGTGACGATTGTCGTCCTACAGTTCGGGTAGTTTTAACCCCCCTCGCTACTAGACATATGATTGGCTTGCCTCTACAGTGGGAGTGGCAATATAAGCCTGCTTAAATTATACTTAAAACTATACATTTACGTTATAACGAATTAAAATTGAAACTTTGCTTTAACATAAGCCGGCCACCTTGAAAGGTGTACCTTTCAAAATATGAAAGATTCAACTAAAGTATATCTAATATTAATTACTGGTAAACATAAACAAAGAGTGCACAACACTAAATATGTCAAATTGTTGACGGTACACTAATTAATTATAAAATACTTAAAATTATAATAGTATGTATGACAAAAAAACTAAAAATAGAAACTATTACTTAAATTATTCAGTTCATTCACTGTTATTGTCCTCTTCACTTTTGGGGAA